TACATTATGGTTATTAATTGAAAATAAGTATCATAAACCAGACCATTGGTGGAAGGGAAAGCCAAATGGCCAAATTGCAGCTGTTGGGAAGTATTCTCCTGCTTCTCTTGAAATACTCAATATGAATATTTTACTTGGGAAGTATCAGCTTCTGAAGCAGACTAATATGCTAGGTACATAAGAATATAATTTTGGGGAAGTAACATGGCTTATTTAAAACGTTTTGGCCTTGGGCAATGTTTTTATTAAAGAAAAGTGTGTTAGAGAGATGCTAGCTAGTGAAGTAGGACCTCTCATGGGACACAATTAAGGTTTCAGTTTCTAGTAACACATATGTGGGAACTAAAATTTTACCAGTCTTCCCAGGGATGATTTGTCTTGGGGGGAATGGATTTACGCCAACCAAATGAATGCACAAATACCTCATGAGGAACCCTGGACAAACCAGAATACCAATGTTCTAACTTACGGAGATGAATGTAACAGAAGACAATTTTAGTGGCTGATTATTTGTCTACTAGTTTAGGAGTCACAGTGGTACCTCTTAACAGTAGCAAGGTACTAAATTAATTAATAGAACAGTCCTTCAGGAGCTTATAATTAGAGCATAGGGAAATAGATGGTTTTCAGGCTATGGAAACATCAAACGAACCATTCTGTCCACAGAGGAGTAATCTTACCAGTATGATAAAATCCTCTTAACTTCTTTTGGTCTACACTTCTGTCTTTTAAATGCTTCCTACAGGTGCGCCTGGGTGGCTCAGTCATTCAGCATCTGACTTTGGCTCAGGTCAGGATCCCAGGGTCCTGGAATCGAGCCCTGCATCGGGCTCCCTGCTTGGCGGGAAGCCTGCTTCTCCCTCTCCCACTCCCCCTGCTTGTGTTCCCTCTCTCGCTGTATCTCTTTCTGTCAAATAAATAAAATCTTTAAATAAATAAATAAATGCTTCCTACAGACTTTTTGTTCCATCAGCACTTAAGGCAGTCATATTACAGTATGGTTGACTAGATTATAGATTTTACATTCCGTTCCTGAGGATATACTTTCTTTAACTTGACTGAACTTGGATGTTTCCCAAGGCTCCATACACTTCACACAATATCACTTTCAGTGGATGCCTGCTATAGACAGTTAATCTCCATTTTAGTTGCTCTTAAACTTGAGCATAGAGATCACTGGGGAAATTTGTTAAAAGTGAAGATTTCAAATTTGAACCCCATGCATTCAGATTAAGTAGATCTGGGGATTGGACTCTGAGACCTATAGTCTTAGTTCTTATCCACAGAGAAACATCATATATGTGTGGATTCTTCACAGTTTTATTTCCAAGGGAAACTTTATCACTAAAGTCTGTGGTACTCTAAACACTAATAATAAGAGGTTTGGTTTTAAAACCTTGGCAAGTTTCTTAAGTACCCATAACCAATTTTTAAAACAGTCCAAATTTTTACATTTAACTCTTGCTTTTATTTCCTTTGCCAAAGTATTCGGGGAAGCTGTGGTTATGTTGGCCATGCACAAAGGAAGTTCTCTTTGTTCCAGAACATCTTGAATATCTACTTCTTCTCCTTCTTCACAGCTCTTGTTCAAGATTTCCTCATCTCTCATCTGGACAGTCCCAGATTTCTTCAGACTCTCACCCCATCCCCTCTTTCCCTGGGTGCAAATTGCTGGTGAAGGTGATGGTAGCTGTTGTAGGATGTGGGGTATAGGGAATCACATGGTCATAGGTATCTCAGAAAAGTCATTCTGACAGGATGGAAGATGAATTAGATGGGAGTATCAGTCCCCAGGAAGTGAGTGAAGTTTAAAAAAAATTTAAAAAGCTAGTATTAGAAGGAAATATTAAACTTGGAAAACAAGGAAATTTCCTATTGCTTTTATAATATAGAGTATAGAATTTAATGTTTGAGCAAATAGAAGCAATAGAAAAGGTCTCAATTTCTTAGGACATGGTTCCATCTCTTGCCATTCTCACACCTGTGTGCTGTGTTCCAGCATATACTTGCAGCAGCACTTCTTTGCACATACTGTTACCCTTTTCTAGATGCTGCCTCACTTTTAATATTTATTGAATACCTTTTATGTGTCCTCATTAGGACATGAAGATACAGTGGTGACCAAGATTAAATTGGTTCCTGTCCTAATAAAGCTTACAATTTAATGGGGCTGGGGAATGAGATACCAAATAAAAACCCACATGATAGTATAATGGTAATTGGGAAAAGTGTTAGGAGAAGTGCTGTGAGTGGATAGAAACAGGAACCTAGCCTAATCTAGAAGTTCAGGAAAGTTCCACCTGAGGAAATGACTTTTCAGCTGAGACCTGAAGGATTACATGGGAATTAACTAGAAAACTGGGGAGTTGGGAAGACAGTGTTTATTTGGGGGTAGGGGGAAACACTTTGTCCTTAGTGCCTGAGACAAGGAGGAATTATCAGGAAATTCAAAGGAGGTCTGAGTGATTGGAGGAGATGGCAGAGGCCTTATAGTTTACAGTGATGTTTTTGTACTTTATCCAAAAACAGTGGGATGTTAGTGAGGGGTTTTAAGGATGAAGGTGAGGAGTGTGGCTATGTGTTCAGATTAATATTTGAAAATGATGACTTGGGCTGTTGTGTGGAGAAAGCATTGTGGGGTTCAAGATAGAAACCAGTGGACTAAATAGGCTGTCATATAGACTCGTTGGAACCCATCAGTTCAGGGCAGAGATGATGACAATCTGGACCCCAGGGATTTAGGACTGAAGATGGGAGAAATGAATGGATTGAAGAATTACTTCATAGCTTGAATTGATAGGAGTTAGTGAGAGTCTATGTGGAGTAAGAAAGAAAAGGAGATCTCAAGGAGGACTCCTAGATTTCTGGATTGAATTAGGTGTATATAATAGTCATTTCTGTTGAGATTGAAGGGAATGCTAAAGGACCTGGTTTGGAGGGAAAGGTCAAAGCTGTTTTGAAAGTTCTTTCTCTGTGGATTCTTGTTTTTTACCTTAGAAACCCCCAGCGCCACCAGATTCTGCTCAAGGTGGCCTTCCTGTGAAATCACTCTAAAGGTTTCCGCCTGCCATGGGGCAGTAAATTGTGCTCTTGGTATGGTCCTCTCTTAGTACTTATTTCTCTGTTTTATACTTATGCACTTGCCTGTCTCTTACCAGACTTGATTTCTTTGTCAAGAGCTTTCAAATAACTCATATTAGTTTGGTGATTCTAAAATATGGACAAATATTTCTTCAGGTGTTTTCCATTGAGTTATATATGTTAACATTTCCTTTATCTTAAATGCAGGTAATGCTGGATCAATTTATTTTACTGCAGAGCTTTTCCCAGCCTTTTGTATTCTAATGTGGATTGTGAATGTCTGGGAAGTGCATAAGGTGTGCAGTATTTTCCAGTATTATTTAGTTGTCTCCCCCCTCCCTGCCCCCAACAGCCTTTGTTTTCTGAGCATCTCATGTTACTAGTGTTGAGGGTAAGAGATGGGGATAGGAGTTTTCTGTGGGAAAGGCTGATTTGGGTGTGTGCCTGTCACAGAGTAAGCATATAACTCACTGAGTGTGGACTCCGTGAAAAGCAAACCTGACAATTGAGCAAGTATATCTCTGGATGTCTTTGGAAAGGTCATTTTGCCTATAGTTGCTGCAAATCTATTTCTTTTACCCCAGTGATCAAAACAGACGTCAAGGGATAAGAATTTACTGCCTATTGTTTGTTCCCCCCAGGCTAAGAATGCTAGGTGACAAATTTTATTCTGTTTCTTTGTAGCTAATCTGGGAAGAGCTGAACAAAAAATTCTTAGGTCCTTTTATTTATTAACTCCCAACATCAAAATAGTGCCTTTCTTATACCACCTGGGTTGTTCATAAAATAAGCAGTTATATTAGTAGCCATTTTTTTGTAAAAGAAAGAAATGTTCAGTATTTTTATAAGGCTATTTATATTCTGTTTTAGAGAGTTGGCTGTAGTGACGCAGAAACTAGGTTTCAGGGAAATATAGACAGGATAGACTAAATGGGGAAGACACTGTTCTTTTTTTGAAGAGTATATGAATTTATTTTAGAGGCGAATTCTTTTTTTCAGAAGTTAGAGTGTTCAAGACAGTTCATTTTTAGAGTGTAACCTAATGGAAAGTTTTATCAGGAACTCACTGACTCAAACAGGAAATATATTTGTTTTTTTTAAACTTGGATTTTATTTTGTAATGCCAGATGTCATTATTTTGTTACGTTTATGAACAGATTCTAACTGCTGGCAACTTTCTTACGGTCATGTGGAATGGGTAGATGCCTTTGCTGTATAAACTCTATTTGGCTATAGAGTTAACAATGAACATAATTTTTTGAGTGATATAAAATACTGCCTAGATTAGTAGGGTAAAAATGTCATAACCACATCTACATCTGTACTCCCACATCTTAATTTATGTGTTCTCATTTATTCATTCCACCTGTTATTACTGCAAATGTTTATTCCTAAATTGGATTACTTTGGAGTGGCCGGGAAAACTTGATCATCTTTAGTCCTATCAGTGAGGTTATCAGCCTTTGTTGTCAGTTTATTATTCCCTCTGCTGTCAGGGCCAGCCAGCCTGAACCTTTGAGCAAATAAAAATCTGTGACTAAAGATTACTTTTCCATTTATTTTAAGAAATGTCTGCAGAAAGGAAAAAGGGCTGCTGAATACCCTGAGTAGCAGTGATAGGGACTCTATGAGTAAAAGGTGGTGATTTTTAGCAGCGGAAACAGCTGTAATTTTTGATGCTTCCTCCTGAGTATCAATCCAGTTATTTCTGTGCTATGTATACCTTTACACAAAAATGATGGTATTGTCTAGGCTCTGAAATCTGCAGTTGCTTATCCTATTGTAAAAGTCACAGTTCAGGATATGGTTTTGTTTTTGTTTTTGTTTTTGTATGATTCACTCTACACTTTGGCTCCTAATAAAGCATTTGTTGTCCAAGAAAATAATTTTAACTGTAGAAACTTCCACATTTGTTTCAGGTCGGTCTTCTCTCTTTCCCTTTGAAGATGCCTTCCTGGACGACAGTCACGGCGATCAATCCTTGTCATCTGGCTTGAATTCTCCCACTCGTTGTCAAAATGGAGAACGAGTAGAACGTTACTCTAGAAAGGTGTTTGTTGGAGGCCTTCCTCCTGATATTGATGAAGGTACGATACATTCATTAATGACTTGATAAAGGCCAGGTTTGTTCTTTGTGTGATTTGACCCTGCCTCTCCTCTCCAGGAAGCTTTGGAACATTCCTATTTTAGTGTTTGGAGGATGAAAATATTTGATAGATGGGGAAGTAATAGGTGCATTTCAAGTCTGCTCTTCAAATGTGTTCATACAGGGCAGTCTCCCAGCAGCTTCGTGTTTCCTAGTCGTTAATTTGGGGACAAGCTGTAAAATAATAATGAAAGTTAATATTTTTGAAACTCTTTATAAGCCCATAAGCATGCTAAGCGCTTCACATTACATTATCCCTTTTAATCCTTACAGCTATCCTTTAAGGTATATCCTACCAACTCCATTCTATAAATAAGGAAACTGAGGATCAGAGAGAGACAGTTTTTGCAAGGTTATATAGCTAATGGTGCAGCTGCCATTCAAAATTAGTCTGATTCCAGAGCTTTTGCTCATGTTCATCACACTATCCCATCTCATATTTTAATATAGATCTCTATTAATGAAAAGCCCCCTTGCCTTAAAAAGAATAAAGACTAATTAGAATTTTTCTTAATAATATTCTTGAGATACTGTCGGTCCAAAAGCGAGTTTTCACTAATGCCAAAAGCCAATCAGCACATAGTAGGTTGTCAATAAATATTTGTTGAACGGAACAGTTACCTTAAGGGAAAAAAACAACAACTCTAGTTCTAGTAGGCTTTGGATCTGTTATAAAAATATTATTAAAACAGTTCTGTCAGCATTGTTCTAGTTGTGACATTTCTCTAGTTTATCGTGATTTTCTTTTTTCATGATGAGAAAGGAATAGTCTAAAAATAGTTTTAAGACTTATTGCTTTAAAGTTGTACAGAGCTGGAGACTCATTTTCCTCCATACTATTCTCATATTAGTGTTAATCTCATCTATCAATTGGATTTTTTTTTTAAGACAAAGTTTAGATCATGGCTGAGAGAGTGACAACTTATATCTGAGTGGGAGCTAAGTTATAACCTTCTGCTTTGAGTCAGGAGTCAGAAGGAAAAGGTAAATTGAGCTATAACTTTGGAAATATTTTTTTATAGGATATGTAGTTAGGGGCACCTAGGTGGCTCAGTTGGTTGAGCCTCTGCCTTTGGCTAGGGTCGTGGTCCTACGGTCCTCAGATCGAGCCCCATATCAGGCACCCTGCTCAGTGGGGAGTCTGCTTCTCCCTTTCCTTCTTACCGCCCCTCCCCCCCGCTTGTGCGCGCGCACGCTCTCTCTCTCTCTTTCAAATAAATATCTTTTAAAAAAAAAAAAGAATAACCAAATGTGCCCGTCAAACAATTGTATTTCACTTAGTAGGTTTGGCTTCTGTAAAAGTGCTTTAGAAATAGTTCTCAAAGTATTTTTTAAATAAAAAGACATGCTTTATGCTATTCTGTTTGCAATATTTTTTTTTCTCTTGCTAAGATTGCTTCTTTATTTTGTAGATGAGATCACTGCCAGCTTTCGCAGGTTTGGACCTCTCGTTGTAGACTGGCCTCACAAAGCTGAAAGCAAGTCATATTTTCCTCCTAAAGGTAATGCACTTAAAATGTCTCCACTGCCTGCCTGTTGGAGAGCTGGCATGACATTCAATAAAGGACAGCCTTTTAATTCTTGAAATAGCAGTTGGCTTTTTTCCCCTAATTAAGAAAATATTTTAATGTTAATCATCTTTTTGTGTCTTACTGTTTTCATTTGGAAACTATTCCCCCAGGAGCACACTGTTTCAGGGCATCTCTTGTACTGACAGTGAGATCCTGTGAGTCCGTTGTGAATGAGCCTTGTGCTAAATTTTCATTATTTGAGAAAAAAAATCTAGGGGTTAGAAGAATGTCAGTGATGGGAGAGGAAAAGATTATTTAGAGTCAAATTTTGTTTGTATCCCATAGTTCTGTAGTTTTATAGATCTTATAAATCCCAAACTTGGAAAACCTAGTGGCCAAAAAGTGACATTGTATGAAATTACCTTTATTCATGTCTGTATTTTAAGTGACTTCGCTTGTTGAGGGGTGGTGGGCAAACCAGCAAAGAACTCTTCACGTGAATTCATCCCTTATGTTTGGTAGGCTTTTTTGTTAATTTACGAAGACATGGAAATATATTACTTTGTTCATAGTTTGTCATTTCTGCAGAATTCAGGGAACTTTTCTAGTGATGTTAACTCGGGTAAGTTCCTAGAATCATATAGAAGAGTGTTTTGGGTTAAAAAGGAAGTTTTCTTCATGTGTTATATTCTGTAGCTACGTTTCAAGGATGTCTTTTATCTCTAAACAATTGGGGTTTTTTGATATACGTTATTATGTAACATTAGTCACCACAAGAAGATGGAGTCAAAATACCCTTCCCGTGCTTCGTACAGGAATGAAATTATAGCTTAACTTGGGAAAGGCAGGTGACTTCGTCTTATGTCTGGTTTATTAGGTTTCTTTGCCACCTATATTTCTCCCCACTCTCTCTATAACCTATGAAAAGAAGTTACTCACTTAAATAGAGTCTGTTTGTTTACTTTTTGTTTTTTTGTTTGTTTACTTTTAACATTTCCTTTTTAATTATCTCCAAGAATTTTTAAAGTTAAGTAAGTTTTGGGGCACCTGGGTGGCTCAGTCGTTAAGCATCTGCCTTCGGCTCAGGTCGTGATCTCAGGGTCCTGGGATTGAGCACCGTATCGAGCTCCCTGCTCTGCAGGAAGCCTGCTTCTCCCTCCCACTCCCCCTGCTTGTGTTCCCTCTCTCACTGTGTCTCTTTCTATCAAATAAATAAATAATCTTTAAAAAAAGATCATATTTATTAAAAAAAGTTTTACATTAATCGGAAAAGATAAAATCACCATGTTGATTATTTCACTGAAGGAATGTGTTCAGTACCTCGTAGTACATGTGGACACTATGTTTAAAACGTGTTTCTAAGAGTGCTAATAATTCCTTGAATCAGAGTAGTGTTATTTCAGTGAGCAAATGAGTTCACCACACTGTGCTGTAGGTTGTATGCTCTGTAAGGTCCCATGTATAAAAAGTACAAGTTGCACGTGAGCATCAAGACATGTTATCTCAGTGAAAGAATGTGTTCACCACACTGTGGTGCATGTAACACACTCTGTAAAATTACATGTATAAGAGATATTTCTAAGAGTGCTAGTGAAAAAATAAACATGCTGAGAAGGTTATAGAAATAACTCTGGGATAAAAAGTGTCAGGTGATCATCATTAAAAAAATGAAGAGAAACGTATATAGATGTGTCCAAGAGAATTATTGCAAACCTACCTGTATCAGACATAATCACTATATACATTTTATTAAATTTCCTTCTAATGTTCTCTTTATGAATATAACATTTATATGAAATTTTGCATTTTAAATAAATGGGATCACACTGTACCTGCTGTTCAATAACCTGCATTTCCCCCTCTTATATCTTTGTGTAAGAGACCTACATAATTTTAATGACCTTATTTTATTTACTCTGTCCTATTGATGGACACTTAAGTTGCTTCTAGCTGTTTCTTCTCATGGATCATGCTTCAGTGAATACCCTTGTGCCTTCATCTTTTTGCCCTTTATCATTGCCTCTTAGGGTGAATTTCCAGAAGTGAGGTACATATTTATACAGATTGCAAAGCTGCCCTTAAGAAAGGTCATATACGTTTATGTTCCCACCAATAGTATCTGATTTGTAAACCAGAGTTATTGAGTCTGAGGAAATGACTTTCGATCTTTGCCAATCTGATGGTTAAAATAACATCCCTTTCCCCTTTTTTTGGCATTCTTTTCTCTTTACTGGCCTTTGAATGTATTTTACTTTTTTAGATTGACTTCTCATTTCTGTCTGGACTTCATATTGGAGTAAGGTACAAGAAGAGATCCAGTTTTCCTTTTCCTAGTAGCATGCCAGTCATCTCAATAGTCATTTACTGACTAATACATTTCTTTTCCTCATCAGTTTGAGTAAATAAGTGTAAGAAAAAAAAGGAAAGAAGATTGGAAGGTTATCTCTTCTGTTTCTCAGTGGAGTGTACAAGTTTCTCCGGAACCGCTCTGTCCAGAACGATAGCTACTAGACACATGTAGCTAATGAGCACTTGAAACATGACTAATTTGAATTGAGATATGCTATAAGTGTTAAATATACACTGGATTTGAAGACTTAGTTTTAGAAAAAGGTAAAATATCTCATAGTAATTTTGTTTTCATGTTAGAATGATAATTTTTTGATGTATTGGATTAAATAAAATAAAATGAACTTCATCTGTTTCTTTTTACCTTTAAAATGTAGATATTAGAAAATTTGTGTGTGGTTTTTTTTTGGTGTTTTTTGTTTTTTTGGTGTTTTTTTTTTTGAAAATTTTAAGTTACATATGTGACTCATCTTTCTATTGGAAAGCACTTCTCTAGAACAGGAATCCGCAAACTACCTGTTTTTATAGGGCCTGTAAGCTAAGGATAGTTTTTATATTTTTAAAAGTTGTAAAAATACACATGCAAGAAGAATATGTAACAGAGACTATATGTGGCCCTCAAATCCCTTTGCAGAAAGTTTGTTGCCTCCTGCTTTAAAACAGTCTTTGGAGCTACTCATGTGGCTTCTGAGACATCCAGTGACAAAGGAGGCAGTTTATTTTAGAGGAAGTCTATATATTTGCTAGACCTAGCTAATTCTTAAGTTTGCTTTTCAACTGCGTCACGTGCTTCCCTGCAGTCTTTACCCTACTGATCAATTGTGTCCTATAAAGTAAAGTAGAATAAATTATCATTGTGACCTCTGTCTCTTGGTACTTAAAAGACAATTAGTTTCTCTTTAAGTCTTCTCTTTTCAAAGATAAACATTTTTACTTCTCTCAGTCATACCTTATGTCTAATGGTTTCTGGATCACCAATTTTGTCTGCCTTTTCTGTATATATGTCATGTTTACAATATCCTACTTAAATTTGTTACTAAGAATTGAAGAGAAAACATTTGGGTTGGTATGAGCAGTACAAATTTTAGTTCTGTTAACTCCATGGTTTTTGGTGCCTTTCCTATATAACAGCATAATAATATAGAACTGTTGAACATTATATCTGGTGCCTTTATTTTACACCTGAGGTTAAGTGTTGAGATGGGCCATTGACAGCAAGGCCAAGAGGAAAATCTAGATATCCCAGTTCTGGTCCACAGGCTTGCATCCTTGCAGAGCAGATTGCCTTCCCTGTGATTAGCAGTTGGGAAGAGAAATAATTGTTATACTGTTGGCTCCTTTTGTGTTTTGGCTTTCAGCTAAAGTCTGAAGGTTGACCTGTTTTGGGAGGACCTAAAGAGATTTGGTGTCATCCAAGATTGAAGTAACTTTGAGAATCCATGCCCATTGCTTTGAATGTTGGAAACGTCTAAGGAGTTCACCTTATCTGTTCTGTGCCTTCTTAATAATGCCCCCTTGCTATTTCTACTTTTCCTGAAATTCCTTAGGTTTTAATTCAGGTCCATGCCTTCTTGGAAATGCCCTTCATGCTGAGTGTACTTTTCTTTAGGTTACCTTAGGTTGGCCATTAGGTACAGTTTGTTTGGCTGTCCATTTTGGTTTATGTGTAAGTAGAAAGGAACCATCCACTATGGAGACCTTTCGCCTTTTTCTCAGAAAGAATATGCCTAATGAAATACACATTCATTCATCTGGCAGGTTTACCTGTACAGATAAAGGGTAGGGTTTGTAAAACCATGGCCATTTCAATGGACTGGAGAGTTTAAAATCCATGTAGAGAAACAGTGACCAGGCACATCAGTTGTCCCTTTAAGTGTTGTTGGGCTGTGTTGACAGCGGGAGGTAATGGAGTCTGGGGCTGTCTCCAGGACAAAGACCACTGAGGTATTTGATCAGCCATTTGAGGATATGCAAAGTCCTGTGGATCAGTTTGTCTGTAGGCCACAAGCAGGTAGTTGCTTGTTGTTCTCCAGAGCAATAATCAGAACATGAAAGGTGGAGGAAGGCAGGGAAGTCAGAATGTGTATTTTCATAATTTGGTCTCAGACCTCATAACTTATAGTCCTGTGGGGAAAATAAGAAATTAATCAACTAGTCAAAAAATAAACACAATTACAAATTGTGATAGTTCTGTAAAGGATAAGTAGAGAGTGCAGTGACTTTAAAAAGGGTTGATCAATTTAGAGTGTGGATATGGAGAAAGCTTCTCTGAGAAGATGACAGTTAAGCAGATCTAAAAATTGAGGAGTTAGCTAGGAAGTTAGGGAAGCGGGTTCCAAGTGGAGGAGTACCATATGGGAATGACTGAGTACAAAAGGGCGTTAGTACCTTTGAATAAATGAAGTGTGGTTGGAATGTTAGGAGAAAATGATGCAAAAGAATGAGCCTTGAAACAGTAGGATTTATTTTTCTTCCCTAAATTGATTTCATCCCCCAGAGAGAGTGGACATGAAGGCATTTGTGTGGTGTTTGTCTTTGGGGTGAAGGAAGAATGGAGTTGGGTCAAATAGAAATATCAGTTTAAAATACTTTCAGGGCGCCTGGGTGGCTCAGTTGGTTGGGCAACTGCCTTCGGCTCGGGT